ATTACCCATTGTAAACGCTGTAAACGGAAGCAACTTACACTAACTCTAACGCCAACCTAAGTCTACTTATAATCTAATGAGAATTAGTTGGCCTTTAGGTACAATGTAATTTAAATTCAACAAACAGACCATGAAAATAAATTCTGACCATTATTTCATTTGGTGTTTGGTAGAAATGTAATTTTACTGCAATAAATACACATTTTGTGTCTGTCCCTACATTTTGGTCATCTCTGTTCCATCAGCTATGGAAAAGGCATAACAATCTAAAGTGCTACAAGAAAAAGCATGTGACTTGCTCAAAGTGATGTTACTTCTTCTGGTGGGAAACTCTGGAAGGCATTCGGCCATGTCATTTATTTTTTTTCATCAATTTGTATAACATCAGGATATACCAATGGTACTAGTATTACATGTCAACTGTATGTCAGCTGTGTTATTGTGATTTTTCAGTGAATCTCTCATTCACTTTTTGAAAAATATAATATGAAAATACATAACATTCAGTTTTAGACATGCCATGTGGCATCTGGGTTGAGTTTAGCAGCTTTTGCTAAAGTGCAAAATGTCATTGTCTGTTATTTTCAACTCTTTAAAAAGTTTTTACAAATGTTTTAACAGTAAGTTAAACAATTAGCAACAAAATCAAATATTCCCTATCACATTTCAACATTTTGCATTACTTTACAGTGAATTTAGTTATTAATTTTCAGTATATTATTCCAGTTGCTTAAAAGCTACCCGCAATTCTGGCTGTTCTGCCCATGTCTATAGAAACAAGAAACGGAGCTCAATAAAATAACAGTGTATGTGATTGCTAGAACTATACTTACAAATGAAACTTCTCCTCCCAGACAGGATTGAGATTGCCGTAGATTGTCTTGGTCCTCTTTTTGGTTTTACCCACCTGGACGGTCACGTAGGGGTCACTGGAGCCAGTTTTATCTTTGGCCTGCAGCCCTTGAGCACAGAAAACTGCAAAAGAGACAGATTAGAAGACAAGAATTTATAAAGTTATTGTGCACTATTCAGAACTGATCTCATTCATTCATTCATTCATTTTCTTGTCGGCCTAAGTCCCTTTATTAATCCGGGGTCACCATAGTGGAATGAACCGCCAAATTATCCAGCAAGTTTTTTATGCAGCGGATGCCCTTCCAGCCGCAACCCATCTCTGGGAACATCCAAATACACATTCACACACACACACTCATACACTATGGACAATTTAGCCTAGTGGTTAGCACGCCGTCATATGGTGCAATATCATGTCAGGGCGTTGCGAGTTCGAATCCCGGCTCGACGACATTTCCCTACCCTACCCCCTCTCTCTCTCTCCCACTTCGCTTCCTGTCTCAATACTGTCCTAGCTAATAATAAAGGCAAAAAAGACCAAAAATAAATCTTAAAAAAAAAAAAAAGATTTCCTACCCAATTCACCTGTACAACATGTCTTTGGACTGTGGGGGAAACCGGAGCACCCGGAGGAAACCCACGCAAAGGCAGGGAGAACATGCAAACTCCACACAAAAACGCCAACTGAGCCGAGGTTCGAACCAGCGACCTTCTTGCTGTGAGGCAACAGCACTACCTACTGCACCACTGCCTCGCCCCAGAACTGATCTTATTTCTTTAAACATGGCAATGTAAATGATCAGTGTTTGAACCTGTGATGGTGATCTTGGCTGACCACTTGGAGGTCCCATCTAGGACACTCTGCTTGATGGTTTTCATCTGCTGAGCGTGGATGGCCTTGCTGACCACAAACACATCTCTGATGACCTCAAAGATCTCAGGCTTGTTCCTCTCACGGATCTTCATGCGGTCTTTCATGGCCATGATGATATTTTGAGTGCGGTCCTCAGCACCATGTTTTGAGCTCTTTTCAGCTGCACCTGAATGGCAGAAGAAAAAAAAATAGGCAAACAAAATAATTAATAACAAATATATGTCAAATGATGGGATTAAAAAACTAACATGCATGATTGTGTAATTTGTTGAATTGACAAAATACTGAAAAAATGTATTATGTTTGGATTTCAATTGAGACAGGGATTTCCTGATAGACAATGGAGTAAGACATTGGATGTGTGAGCTACACATCCAATGTCTTACTCCATCGTCTATCCGGATGTAACTATCATTTAATTTTCATAAAAACAAGACAACAAAAACTCTCAAATTTTTTAGAGCATTCAACATACGTTGCAATTTGCATGTTTATAAATGCCATCGAAGAAAACAAGATTTCAAGTGAGACAACACATCTTTGGATTTTCTTCTCAATTGGTAATTTTTACCACATGATAGTTCTTCAGTCAAGCCACTTATAAATTAGATAAGTTAAATACAATAAGGATAACAATAATCTTGATAAAAGATGAAACTGGTGTAAGGGGGTTTGGAAAACTTAAAATATGCTTTATTTTTTTAATTCTATTAAGCACATTAAGACTTGCTGCAATTTGAAATGTTTAAAATGTAAGCACATTAATCCCCAATGTTAAAAAAAATAATTCAATTTCTTGAATATCAACATGTTCTCAACAAAAACTGTACAATATGACAAGCTCATGAATACAGTAAACACCCAGTCTTATAAAATATGTGTGATGATTATTTTACTGCAAGCATCAACTCTAAATCATTTTTTTCATTCTGGCTAATGGACCTGTCAACACAAGAGACGTCACTGAAGGAAGTCCACTTGGACAAATGAGTTCAACAGTCTAGATGTCAAACAGAATTAACAATAGAGTGTTTTAGTAGGATGGAAACTCAAAGGAGACATTCATTGAAAGCACTAGTCTGCGTCAAAAACCTCTCAAACACAAAGTAGGATGGATGTTTTTTTTTAGATTTAGCACAGGTAATCATACTCACGTTGTAGGCAGTCTGCATTCAGCAGCTCCTGACATTTCTCGTGACACTTGACCCCACATTCGGTACATCTCATACCTTGCCGAGCAATGCCCCAAAGCAGACCCTCACACTCGTAACAGTAGGTTGGCGTAGTCGCTGTCCAAACTTCAAAATTGTGAGGTGTGGTACAAGAAATGGGGTAGATTAAAGCTTGTAGAGTTTTCTTATACACATGGTTCTTCTGTTGAAGTAAAGGAGATTGAAATTAAAGTGGTTAATATACAATCATTAAAAAAAAACGAGACAATATTTATGTGTAATATGCAAAATGTTCAACGAACCAGTTCCTCATCTTTTATGGAGGAGCGTGAAGCCATCGCAGAAGCAATACCAGCCTTCCTGGCCTGGACCAGTGACTAGCATACAAATAACCAACATTAAAACAGTACAAAACAATGCAAAATCCCATAAACACCCCTGGTGAAACAAATAAGAAACCCAGATGTCACAAATGAACATCTAAAGCATAGATCTCAAACTCAATTCCTGAAGGCTACAGCTCTGCACAGTTTTGCTTCAACACTATCAAACACTGCTGATCCAAATAATTGAGGTGTTCAAAAGAGTCATGAACACCTTCATAAGTTGAATCAGATGCGTGATCAGGGTTGGAGAAACTGTGCAGAGCTGTGGTTCTCCAGGAATTGAGTTTAAGATCTATGATCTAAAGCAGTGGTCACCATACTTGTAGGGCCGGTGTCCTGCAGATTTTAGCTCCAACCCTAATCAAACACACCTAAACAAGCTAATTAAGGTGTTACTGGGTATACTTGAAACACCTAGGGAGGTGTGCTGAAGCAAGTTGGTGCTAAATCCTGCAGGGACACCGGCCCTCCAGGACCGAGATTGGTGACCTCTGATTTAAAGGAAAAAGCAACAACCCATCCCTTTAAGCTAGGGGTGGAGGAAACACTAGGACTATGGGAGTCCTGGAAATCAAAAGAGAAACCAAATGCCTGTGAGGTAAGGGAATTAGGGGTTAATGAAGAGACCAAACAATCACTAGCAAGCCAGGTTATTAAAAAAGCATCTAAAACACCCTGTTAAAAAATTCTAACAACCGCTTTAAAACAGCACTTTTATAGTGGCCCAAACAGGAAAGGTAAACAAAATTAAATCAGTGGAAAAGACCTTTTTTGCTGGCTTAAACTGCATATCAAGTAAAGCTGTAATGGTTTGCAAATACTTAGACCAAAAAAAAACAAACAAAAAAAAAACATGTTTCATAACAGTACATGTATTATGAGATTACCAGTGTATTTTCTGTTATAGAAAAATGCTATTTAATTGCAATGAAATTTAATTTATTTTCCAACTGTGTGCTTGTTTATTTTTCCTTGCAAACTATTAGAGCAACACTGATCCCCTGGATTCAGTATTATCTTGATATACACAAAAAGTAGGTTCAATTATACTATATGGGTTATTCTGAAAACTTACCATAGCCTGACCATGCAGAGTGAATGCATTCAAAAGAGTTGTAGAGGTTTAATTTTATGTTTTTCATGGGAAGGAGAGAGATCAGAAAGTTTTATTTCACTTCATGTTACTTCATAACTTGAAGTTGAGAATGTTGTCAGTTGTAAAATTATGAATGCTATAAGTTGCTCATATGCATTTTGTATGTACTTTATGAATAATTATACTTAATAGATCAACAAGTAATATTTTTAAAGGAAAGACTTGGATTGATACTAATCATATTTGGCAACAACACTGTTTTACACCAAGACTTACATAAACACAGGAAGCTTTTCTTCATTTTAATGAAAAACTAAAGCCACTTACCACATCGCTAACCAGAGGAATAGCTTTCTTCTTACGCAGGTCTGGCATACTGTCAATTCCAAATATTCCACTCCCATTTCTGTGGACATCAACACTTTGTAAAGGAGTATTTTCCGCATTTAATAATTAATACAGACAATGATTGTGTCTATAAAACAGTTACTAACGTCTAATTAATAATTCTTTAGTCTCATAAATAATTCCATAAAAAAACAGAGAAGTAAAAAATAAATAGAAACTTACCCAGCTTTAACCCAAGCATGCCTGGAATTGTCTCCATTTTCTTTGCCCTACGGCACCAAAAACACAGTTTTATCAGTGTGTACAAGTGCAGCCAATTAAAGAGATAAAACTTAAATTTAAAACCTAAGATAAATGTAAAAGACACACGGTTGGTTGAGTTTCACCAAAAGGTCTGAAAAGCATTCCAAAACAGGATATTGTGGAACAAGCCATCATTTATGCATGCAACTCATAAGACCAGACCAAAAGATGAATGAATGGAGGAAATAAAAACACTCTTGAAATGCACAGCCGAACTTGCCAGCTGAAATGGTAAGCAAGTCATTATAAACTTTAATGATAATTATATACCTTTTTACTCATGACAGTAACTTTCAGCAACCTTCAGTTTTCCATCTGTGGTGAACAATTCTTCCTTATAAACGGAAGTACAGCTGGAGAGCTGGAGTTCCCCAAGGGCATGCAGTGTGTTTCAAATGTTTTTAATAGCAACAATACAGCAAAACGAAGACCATCTCAAATGATCAATAATTAAAAATGATGGCAAATCATATTATAAGCGGCACAAAACAAAAGCAACACATAACCATCAAGAGGGAAAAATCACTGAGCCTTAAATTTAGAAATCTTCTGTTTTTGACTTTCAATGAAATACAAAACAAAACAAAAAAAATATTGGATTTAATGAAAAAATAAAATAAAAAACAACTGAGAATTGACTAAAATATAATCATGACCTGATCACCTTCCCTGCTTCCCTCTGTAAGAGCAGGAGAATGAAGAGCAGGAAAGAACAGTTGAAGAAAATAAAGAAAATTCACAGACAGCAGGAAAATTTAGTTTAGCCTAAATACATGCACAGCCAACCAAAATTTAAGACAGTTTTTGTACCTTGTGTAAACTTCTCCTCAGAGAAAGTGTTCTTTGAGGCATTGGCAATTCTGGATAGTCTATGTCGATGTCTCTTCTCTTTGAGCACACGTTCAATATTGGCAAGGCACTTATGATGGTGAGGATCCTCAAGGGCAGTTTCATTGTCAAGAATATGCTCCGCCTGTTTTGCATCAACATCTGTTTCCAGTGTTCCTGAACTGGTGCCCTCTGGACATATTTCGGTATTACCTGAGTCAACTGCCATTTGGTAAACACAAGGTTCAACAATTCCCAAGCTCAGATCCACCTGTTTTGTACCAAGTTCCGGAATATGCTGCAGACTGGAATGTATCTGATCTGTGAGAGTCTCGTCTGCATTATCCAAGTGGTCCACTGCATAGTATTCAGTTGGAGTATGTGAAGGTGAAATCGTGCTAGGGGTACATACCAAAGGATCAAAGATTTGAGAATTACATTGAGCGTTTACCATTTGTGCAGTCTCCTTCCCATGGAATGAGGCTTTGATGCTTTTTTGAGGGGACAAACTAAGATCTAAAATTGCACCCTCAAAGGGTATAGGAGTGCCCACATTTGATTCCCCAAAAGCTGTGCTTTCTTCCTCAAGGTTATTGGATATGCTGGGACTTGAGACAAGAGAATGGCTATCCTCATCTTGAAACTGGGGTTCGGTTTCAATCTTTGTTAAGGCTCCCCTTAGAGCAGAGTGGAAAGATTGCATGGCTTTACTGATCTTTACAACATCATATCCTATATTAGGTGGTTGTGACTCTTCAGTATCTGTATTTTCAGAGTAATCTTGATCATAACAATCCACTCTGCAAGCCCCCCATTCTTTCTCTGAGTCCATATCATAGAGACAATTCTCACAAGAGGAGTGTAGATTATGGCAACCATCATCATAATCTGTCATCCCAACAGTTGAACAACTAAGGCTTCGAGATGGCCCACTACATGACTCATCAGCATATGCATCCATGGTATGGTATCCAGAACTTCGGGAGTACATGCAGTTTGATGTACAATCACAACCAATGTCATTGACGTCCTGATTTTTAGGATGCCTCCAATCTACAACACTGGATGAACTGGATGGGGAGTCATTATGGTTTCCAAACAGTAAGGATAAATGTTCAGAGCTGCTACGTGATGAATGGCATTGTGTGCTGCTGGTCTCTTCACCATTATACCTGTACCATGATTCTGGGTGTCTACTGGTTTCCAATTCATCTGCACTGTTCTGGCAGGAGCAGTAATCCTCCTCACTCCATCCAGTGTCCCCACTCCATCTCCCTTCCATGCTCGCACTCAGCTGCATTTCTGAATGTCTCCAACCAGTGTTCTGTTGGTCAGCCTCCGTAGATTGATAACTACCATCTTGATCATGACTGTTAGAACTGTGACCTGAGGATAAGGAACTAGTGCTTGTAAACTCTTGCCCATAAACTTTTTCAAGGTGACAGTAGCTAGACTTCTTAAATCTGGAAGAGGGTACATCTAAGTTGTCAGAAATCTTGGGATTATGTATCTTGGCTCTTCTAGGTATGTCTGGAAAATCTAGTTCCACATTCCATCCTGACATGGCAGGTCTGGCTGTATGAGGCCTACCTTCCTTTACCTCCAGTTTTCTATGTTTTACAGCTGGGCTATTATTTCTACTTCGCAGGGCAGGAACCACATTCTGTCTACCTGGACTCATTTGATGAGCCTCCGCTCTCCGAGGTGATGAATGACCAACAGCGCCAACGGAGTACATTTCCTCAATTTCCAGCAACACAGCGTCTACACAGCAGGACACCTCATCTACTGAGCCACTTACAGATGTCAAGTATTGCCTTAAATCTGATATTTCCTCTTGTATTTTATTAATCCCCTGCAGTTCTTTCAGAATGTGCTCTACTATGGTACTTGAGCCTCCTTCTCTTGCCTTTTCTCTGTCCTTGATTTTGCTTGGTTTATCATCCATTGTGCCTCTTCTATCTACACGGGCACTGCCTTCTGCTTGATTTGTAAACTCTAAGGTAGGTCCATTGATGCATGGGATTGTGAAATTTCCATCACTGTTACGCCTCCCCTGCCCAATACCGGTACTCTTGGAGGTTTTAGTATAACTTTCAAAACTACGCTGACTAGAGAGACTACATTCACGAGTGGGGGGATCTCTCTTTATGCCACAGATGAACATGTCATTCTCTAGCTCCACAGGAGAGTGCTGAAAGTCATGGGAAGTGTACTCCCCTGAGCCCTGAAGAAATCTCTGAATCTTCTTGCATATGCTCCGATTGACCTTGGGACTCTGAGCCCGCTTCTTGCCAAAATCTTTTTTCTTGGACATTCTTTGCTGAAGTTCACCTGACACATTTGTTTCATCTTGCTCATTGGAATGACCCCGTGATAACATTCCTTTGAATTAGGTGTGCCTCAGGTGCTGACCATTACCTTGAAGCTCTGGTTTATGGGATTACAGAGCTGTTGCATTGCACCTATAGTACACGAGGAAGCAATTTTTCAGTTAAGATTATAAACAGAGCTTTAAGCACACCCTAAAATCGATTACAATGACATATAACTCTGCAGCCTGTGGAATTCTAAAAAAATAGACATAACTATAGCTTTGGCATACAGTATTGGGAAACTGCACCTCTAGCAACCCAAGTTTGATTTCCAGTTCGGGATCCTGCACCAATTCAGTTCTAACTTACGATATATGAATTCCTGTTTTTGTCCAAATCTAATAAATCAATAAAAAGGGGTCAAACATTAATTCTAAGGCACGAGGAGCACTACTTGGTGTGGCACAGATATAAACTGCTGCCCATGTAAACTAATACAACTAAGGTGGTTAAGATTACTAGAATAGAGTTAACGACTGCATATTTAATTACATATTAAGCGGCAAGCGCACAGATGAGACACTGCATATAATTTTCTAATTTTACCCAGGGGTGTTGTAAGAACAGGCCCCACCCCCATTCACCTTCACACCACAAGTTTTACAGAAGGGATTAGGGGTGTCAAAGTTAATTGTTTGTTCGGTGCACCGCGATGCAAACGCAGACAATTCGGTATCGGTTCAGCAATAATCATAACCGGTTATTATGTACTGACGTCATTTATCTCATATGCGCTCTGTAGCGAGGGAGGCGAGCGTGAGTATCTATAGGTGTAAAAGAACTAGACAAGGATGAGAAAGTGAGAGGGATCTTTATATTTGTAAAAAAAAAGTTTTATATTTATAAAACTGTATGAAAAGCACCGTCAATGCACCGTGATGCACCAAGCTATCGAATTGAACCGAAACGATGGCATGATAATCGTAACCGAACCGAACCGTGAGACCAGTGTAGGTTCACAGCTCTAGAAGTGGTCTAGAGAAGAAAATCATGCACATAAGCCCCAGAATTCCTAGCAACGTCACTGTTTACACTAAGTACAGAATGAGAACACCTGGATCTCTGCCATGTAGTGAGGACTATCCACTGATGGCAAAAAGGATTATAGAGCTGTGCTAAAAACCCTTTACACTGTATTTACACAGGATATGAATGGCACAATTATAAGCTACTGTAAAACCAGTTTTAGCTTATCCTAGTCAGTCTGGCCATTTTAATACTGCTAAAATATAAGTACCTGAAACAAAGCAAATTTCATTGGTCATGGCCTTCAGAAAACAACAGATTAAAGGGATTTTTCAAACTATTTACTCACCCTCAAGTGGATCCAAACTTGTATTAGTTTGTATAAGTTGACTTCCATGGTAGGAAAAATAAATACCATGGTAGTCAATGACTTTCTTCAAGATGACTTATTTTAAGTTCAACAGATCAAAGTCAAACAAGTTTGAAACAAGTCAAGGGTGAGTAAATAACAGAATTTCCATTTTTGGGTCAACAATCTCTTTAATTTGAGAATGTGTGACGCATTAAGCATTTATTCAAATCACGTGATCATAAGCAAAATTTAATAATTTTTTTTACACATTGCAGAAATGATTCTGGTCAAGATATTACAAAACTAGTGGGGCATATTCCACACAGAGCACAACATATTATCTTCTTCCTGTCAGCCCTTTTAACAGTAAGTGCCACAGCACAGGGCGGGTGACCATCCAGCTGTATTCACTGTGCATCACGATTGTTAAGCAGAACCTGCTGGG